AAGCCGCTTCCCTGCCCCCCAGCTCCCCGTAGGCCCCGGGCTGACCCGGGGCCGGGCGGGGCGGGCGCCGAGCGCTCGGAAGAGGGACTCGCTCCCATTTCCTCTGCATTTCCAGCAGCAAATGTAGAAAAATGGATGTGGATGGAGGCTAGGACCCATCCAAGCCATGAATTTCAAGATAACTGCCCGAGGGTCCCACACCCCAAAAGCCTGTGCTGGGAAACGCTCCGCCGCGGGCACCCTCCGGGTATGGGGCAGACACCCCCTCTAGCGCCCAGCGAGGCTAAAGCCGTTGGCGGTCCCACTGGGGTAATGATACAGAGTCTGTTGCAGGGCCCTTGTCACTCCCTATCTGCAAGTATGCTGCCAAAAAGCTGCAGCTGGGCCCAGGATTTTGCACACCTGGCTGCCGAGGCTGCAGTTGGGCTTACGTTGAAAGACGCCCTAGGTGTCTGGGAAGAAAGCTACGGGACCCACACCCCCTTCCCAAATTGATCTTATTTCACCTTGCCCTCATTTCCATCAGGTGCTCAGTTCCTCTGTTAACCTGGAAGGGAATGAGCTGGGCCTGCCAATCGGGGAATCAGACTCCTGAAGTTCAGTTTGAATGCAGTGCCCACTGCTGTGCGCCCCCTACACCCTCCCAGGGAGCTAGAGCCTGGGTAGGCCTGCAAGGACTTTGGGATCAGAAACTTAGGGCTGGGAGTTCAGTCCCTGCCCCTGACAAGCCATACGAGTTTAGGCAAATCACGTCATTTTTGTGTACCAAATACCAAGTACTCTTTGGTACTTGAGTTTTCTGGTAAAACTAAGAGAATTCCTGCTTTAGTCATCTCTCACCTTTGTGAAGGTGCAAATGAGTTGTTAAAGGTGTTCAAAAGATAAGTAAAATCCATCTTATTTATTAAAACAAATTTACAAAGCATAAAAATGGAGAAAGCTAGGCCTCTGGAAAGCTAGGCCAGATGGCTAGAGGTCCACAGAATCATGAACGCAGAGCTAGGGGGCACCAAATCTTGGACCCTAGGATAGTGCCCTCAGAAGAGGCTACTGCTTCATTCTTGACTGACCCAGCATACTCTGGCCTCTAGACAGGGCTGGGCTTCTGTGGCTGACACTCCAAGAACCCTGGCTGTTCTGCTTTAGTTCTTTGTTGAAATGACCCCCAAACACAACAATTTGAGGGTGGCCCTGACAGTACAGTATTCTACAGTTTCCCTGGGAACCAGGAAAGTGTGGGATAGCCATTTCCCTAGCCATTGCTACTGCAGGTCAGCAACATGATTTTAGATACAAAAGCAGTGACACATCTGTCCCTCCTGCCCTTCCAGGCTGGCCATAGCCAAGATCAAAACCTGGGGTAATTCCTCCTACTCAAAGCTATGAGAACACCCACTTTGCTGGCTTGGTAGAAGGATTCTGGAGATAACATATAAACATGCTATGGTACATGCTTTGGTACAGAGTACCTGTTGGTGTAAAACATTTTTATAATTATGCAACTGCTTATATTTCATTTTAAATGGAGAAAAAAGGGAATGCTGGGCTTTGCTGGAGCCAGTTTCATAATATTCTACCATGGTTATCAGCACATTATGCCAATTCCCTGACTTCTCACCAGCCAGTTCTTCATAGAACAAAAAAAAGTTAGGTTGGCAACTTCCCATCAAGTGTGTGTGAGCGACACAAATGCCTAACCAGGTAATTAATTTAGGATCACAAAAAAAACACATTTTAAGCTGAATGGTGCAAAACCAACCAAGGAATTTCCTGTTCTCTTTAAGACAAAACTTTGGACACTAAGTTAACTTTTCTCCCTGCCTCTGCCTATAGAGCCCTTTCTTTATACTTCTAGTATGGCTGTGTTTTTAGTGTTAGATGGTTTTCTTTCAGAGAGACAAATTCTATCTGAAATATAAGCCTTTCTGCAGTAGGAAATGATCATATCAAACGCTCTCTCCTCTAAACTGCCTCTTCAGACCCTCAAACATCAATAATATAATTCTAAGTGACTGCTCACCTGAGAAGTATTTTAAAATATTTACAGATCCTAAAAGCTGGACCAAGTTTATATACTATTGCTGAAATGGCTTTTTCAGATAACTAGGATGAAAAATGAATGTAGATGGAGGCTATGACCCATCCAAGCTATGAATTTCAAGATAACTGCCTGAGGGTTACACTTACTCTGAAATTACAAATTAACAATGGCAAGTCAACGAAAAACAGGACCAGCAGCAAAATGTGTGCAAGAGTGACACCTGCTGGGTGTCTGAGGAAGATGACTGGGCTCGGAAAGGCAGAACTGAAATGGATAAATGTATTTTCTGGCATCCTAAATAAGAAACCTTTTGTTATTGTCACTAAGAAAATGATAATAAACAGTGTAGGCATCAAATACATCATTTATTCTGGCTCTTCTTTCCCCAGGTTCCTTCTAACAGCCAACAGGCTATGATTTCACTGGGTGGCAAAATCAGGTATCCTAGCATTAGCACAAACACTTCTTTCTGGGGTAGGAGCTCTCAATGGCTCTTTTAATAATTAGGATGGCATGTGTAGGTCACTCAGGACTCACATGCAGGCAATAAAAAAACCCTATTTGTACGAAGTTGATCCTTAATACTCTCAGGATCCATCTAACATTTGGAACATATTTCTGCTTTAGCTAAAATGGAGTAAAATTGGGAATTTTGACCAAATGGGCTGTTTGCCAATGAATCCAGGTCCTACATCCAGCCCAAAAAAGGAGGGGTGGTGGTGGAAATCATGTGTCAAAACCCAATTCTGTGCAGTCAATTCACAGAAAATGCAGGCTGGCTATGGCTGGGCATTAGAGGTCCTGGGGGATGAAAAAGGCTAATTCAGGCCCACAGGTGGCCTGCACCTGGGAACAGAGTAAATATTCAATGTGGTAGCCTCACTTCCTACAGTAGCTGCAATAAACCAGGCTGCCTTGAATGAATGAACTGAAGAAAAACTCCTCTGTGGGAAGACTAGACTTACAGAAGTTGGGGAGGTATGAAGGGAAAAAAATACTTGAATTTATGTTCAACACATTTCCTGCAGGTTTAGTGGGGACTAATCCCCCCCACCC